TATGTTTTAAAGATTAAAAAAACTTTAGAAATAATTTTATTACTATAGCTTGTTTCACGATTTGATCATATAACATGGTGTTTTTATTTTTTTGCTGAAAGATGAACATGGGCTTGAAACCATATAATCATTAGTTTATACTTTATTGCTGATGTTTATAAAATTATTAATTTTGTATCATGTCTAAAAGAACAAAAGATCATTCAATACAGGAATAACAGCAAAATAATAAATATTTTAACAAGTTTTTTTAATAGTTTAATGTTATTCACACAAATAGTTTAAGTTCGAAATTTCAAAAACAGTTTAATACTGTAGATATCTATTTTATTATGATGTTCAATAATAAAAAATTGTCATTTAAAAAGAAATTTAACAATTGGCTTCAATAGATATTTGTTATGTAAAACATTGTGATTTAAAACAACATTTTGTCAGATGACAAGTTAACCAATTGTTTGTTTCTTTCTTTAATAAACTAGAGTTTACTTTAAATCAAAAATCTTATTTTGTATTTAACTCTAAATCTTCATATGCTAAAATGAAGTTGAATTTTGTTTCAGGCATTTTATTCATGAACATTATTCCTATGTGCTTAACACTAAATTAGTATTAATACTACTAATATAGTATTATTAGCAAGAGTTCCCAATAACTTTTGTAAACTTCCTAGAGATGGCAGACAATTTATATTATATACCTTACTGAAATTTTCTCATAGGTGAAACCTGGTGAAAAACTATTGTCACTGGAGGAACTCTGTGCTCAGGAGCTTAATGATCATCGTGCTATAATTTTAATAAATGCTAAACTATCAGAACTGTGAGTCTACTAATAAGATTATTATAGAGACTTTAATAATTGACTTTATCAGAAGCTAGCCAATCCAATTCTCCAAGATCTCAGGCAAAAAAATTTCATTGCTCATGAAATATCCTGGAATGTCTTGGTCCAAATAACCTTCTCTATCCACTAAGAGTTACATGTCTGTATTTATTTCTTATTCTAAAGGCAGTTTTTATAAAAAGTCGTATTAATCTTACAACCTCTCTTTCAGGTGGTGTGTGGAGAGCTAGTGATAGTTCACATGAAAAGTTTTATAGCTGATCAGTGATTTAAACTCTGCTCAAAGCTATTAAAGAGCAGAGTTACATTAACACTGAGTTTTTAATATTTCTTTTCATAAACTTAATATTTTAAGATTTAGCTTTTTAAAATATGCATTAATATTAATCTAATCATGGTGATACAGTGGTTAAAATGAAGTATTGCAGCTAATTTGCTGACTGCCAGCAGTTTGGCAGTTCAAGTCTCACTGGCTCAAGGTTGACTCAGTTTTCCATCTTTCCAAGGTCGGTAAAATGAGGACCCAGATTGTTGGGGGCAATATGCTGACTCTGTAAATCGCTTAGAGATGGCTGTAAAATACTGGGAAGGGGTATATAAGTCTAAGTACTATTTAAAACAATATTTTCTTGCGGTAGAGGGAAAGAGTACACAAACTGGAGTACATTAAACCCTCACTATTCACATTTCCAGCCCTCTACACAGTTTATTAATTACTCTTTTAGTTTCAGTCAATACCAATGTGTAAAAAGAATCATTTGTGTGACTGCCTTAGGAAATGTTCATTTTCTCAAATTTCATAAGTTAGGTTGAAGCCATATCAGCAGAAGGTAATATCCATACAAAAATAGGATTTAAGTACAGACACAAACATAGAAGTGATAGGAGGAAACTGAGCTCACATAAATATACATACATAGGGAGAAATTGTGTCTAGGTACATAAAATAACAAATTATTTCTTAATCTCATATAGATTTTCCACTCAAATCTCTTTGTTACTTATTGCTCAGTCACAACTTCTATAACTAAGGTACTATATTTAATACCTACAGAAACAACCTGTTTCAATTTTCTTAGGCTAAATTCAGCAGCACTGAAAAAGGATTAAATGTCCAGATGTTTTATTCTGAGCAATATGCAAAATAAATGACTGATATAACACCCTTTCTGTTTCAGTGAACACCAAGCAATTTCCATATCAGTCGAGGAAAAACCACAAGAGACCTCAGCCTCTCGAATGGGGGTGCCTGCTAGCAATACCAGGAAATCTAGCAGAACTAAGTAAGCATTTAAATTTTTGTAATTGCTCTTTTTTCTTTGGTGAATTTTAGGTTTAAAAATGTATAAATTAGATTTCTTTTTTTTCAAAAAATCAAATCACTTGCTTTATCAGAGTTTGAAATGAATGATGATCAAAAATAAGAAAGCTATTCAAGTTTCTGTGAAATGCAGATTCTTCTCAAATTTTAAAATCTCATGGCACCATTTAGATACCAATTTAACTTTATGTAATTTCATTCACTCTATCCATCATAGTGGCATCAGAATAAGCTATTTTGTCACACTGGTTAAGTCAAATTCCACTATGATACTAAGTTCCTGCATCAAACTCCTTTTGAGGCTTTAAGTAATGGATAAACAAAAGTTTATGGAATATTTTCTATTTGTTCTGACTTTATCTGGCAAGATAGTGATTTCTAGTAAAAGCTACATCTAGATAGTCCTTGATTTAAAACCAAAATGAATCCAAAATTTCCATTGCTAAGCAAGACATTTAAGTAAGTTTTGCCCCATTTTACAACCTTTCTTGCCACAGTTGTTAAGTATAACACCTTTTAAAAGTGAATCTGGCTTCCTCATTGATTTTGTTTGTCAGAAGGTTGCAAAAGGTGATTAGATGATGCCAAAACACTGCAAGTGTCATCAATATATGCTGGTTGCCAACCACCCAAATTTTGATCATGTGACCATGGGGATACTTCAATCATAAATTTGAAAAATGGTCATAAGTGCAGTTTTCAGTGTACCTGTACTATATTGTATTTTGTGTCCAGAAGATAACTGAAAACATTAATAACATTAATAAATCTTCCAGACTCAAAAAATTATCCAGACTGTTATTTACGTATAGAAGCTGGAAAATACATTCATTCATAAATGGCACTAAGCAGAGGAAACCTTCTTGGTGGTAACCAATGCATACATACATAGGATATACCAATTCACATTATGTTATATGTATTTTTATTTAGTAACTAGGGTCAATATTACACAGCATTAACATTAATGGATACTTGATACCTGCAGCTCCCCTATTCTGATTTCAACTACAATTGAGATAGCCCTTGTGTCTTTTGTAGTGTATAATCATTTAAGACACAAAACATGATTTATATACAATAATATGAATATGCTAAAAAGATACAGTATATGAGACATTATCAATAGTCACATATATTTCCTGATTCAAACATGGAATGAAATGTATTTGCCATTGTTAAATTATATATATGTATATCTATCTATGATTACTCAATAATTTACATATATATTTTATTACTGCATATCTAGTGAATGGATGCTTTTTTTTGCCTCTTTAAGGCTAGCTTGTTATTGCATGGTAGAAGGCTTTTTAATAATTGCCCAAAAGATTAAATGAATTGGATCCAAACTAGATTTCTATACTCATAGTCCTATGCATGTTTTCCCCCTAAGAAAATGCCCTATCAGATTCAGTGCGTCTTTATGGATATTTACATTAGTGGATTAAAAAAAATAACTTCACAGTTATTTTAATGTGATCAAAAGTCAACTAACTTATTTTGGTACAATTGGTGTAATTAAAGATATACTCTTTGCTAATGCTTTTGCTAAAAAAAAGAAAAAAGAAACTAGGGCTCTTGTAGACACAAATAATAGCATGTAGTATCTATTTGTTACTGTATACCCCAGATAAAATAGAAGCCTGCCATTTTGCCCCTGCACTTTTTCTTTGAAAGCATCTTTCTGTATCTCATACACAGCAGTTCCTGTGGCACAACAGTCTGGATAATGATTATGAAAGATCCAAGTCCTCCCCCCCCACACACACACACATACACACACAAATGAGAGAAGAATTTGCGTTCTGTCAAAGCACTGTTGTGGGGCTATATCCACCTCTCTCAAGGATAGTTGCACCATGGATCCCTTGGAGGTGATGTGTGTCACTGCCATCAGCCATGTTTGAAAAGCAAAATGTTTTATTCCAATTTTGAAAATGGTGGGAGTTGAAGCTGTTTATTTAATAAATCACAGTTGGCTGCTTTCACACAAGGCATTAAACCATAAATCATCTGTTTAAACCACAATTGTTGGATTCATTCAAAATGGCTCAATTTCATCTGTTGAATTCTCCATTGGCTTCCATAATAAGGGTGCTACTTGATAAAAAAAAAAAAATAGAAATGTGCCTTAAAAGCAGCTATTTTTGACGTGCCTACTGATTGCAAATATGACTGAATTGAGTTAAATAATTTTAAATTTAATTGCTTAGCCCAGTAGTTATAAAACATGGAAGCAAGCAAAATAATTAAATTAATGTGGAATATAAGTTTTTAATACTATATTCCATTGGATTGCAAGGAAAGGATACTTCCACAGAAAATTATTTTGCCTATTGATTTCGCTTGGAAGGCCCCCAAGGATTCTTAATAATGGTTCCCTTCTCCTCTCAATTTGTTAAGAATTTGTATGCCTTATAGAAATGAAGAGATATTGGCAATTATTTTGTAATTTTGATAGTTCATTGGATGAAAAACCAGAATCTCCAGGACGGTCTTCTTCAATCAGTAAAGGAAGCTCTAGAGAGAAAGGATCAAGGTATTGGTATTCTTGTTTCAAGCTTGAGGGTAAAGATTTTGGCCCAAGGCCCTACATTCTGAAAAACAAACTCAAGGAAGCAAAAAAAAAAAAAAAGAGAGAGAGAGAGGGAGAGGGAATAAATGAGCAGGACTAAATATGGATATAGTAGAATATTATTTCAATTACATGGGCTGCATGTAATAATTGACAATTTGAGTCCATGGTAGCAATCTTGCAAAGATATGGATAATGCACTAAGGTAAACTGTAAGGTCTGGAAAGTTGATTAGCATAGTATTGCATATAACATACAATTCAAAACAGTCTCTTTGTAGCCTGGCAGTTATCTTTTGTAGATTGTCGCAACTCTGCCTTTTCTTGCTCATATCATTATGAAGCCCTTTTCTACTGAAATAGATAAATGAACTTAGAGAACAGTATTAATTATAGCAAACAGCCCATCCATGTTAGGCAGACTGAGCTTCAGCCAATACTTTTTTCTTAGTGGATTTCCCTGTACATTCATCATGTCACAGGATGTAATTGAAATGTTCCACTTCTGAATATTCTCAGAGCTTTTTTTTTTTCAGTATCCAATTTTATTAAATTACATGTGACCAAAACAATCTAGCATGGAAAAATAGCATTTATCTGGGTCCATTTTCCTTATGTTATTCTTAAACTCTGGTTTTTCTTCAGAGTATATAAATCTATCTTATATTACTCTTTTTTTTTCAGGTCTCAAATTGTTTAGAAAAAATGCTGAGAATTCAGACCCTTTGTTAAGTGCTTAAAAGTTTAGCATCTTAAAGTTACTGCAAGGCATCTAAATAAAACTTTGCATGGCAATCTCTGATGATTCAATTCAGTTAAATCTAGCAATTCCAAAACACACAGAAATATGTGCAGCTATTGTTTCAAAATGTTTTAAATAGGTAACTGTAACACATTTTTATGATACCAATCTACTTCATTTAGTGTATAGTACATTGGTGGTCTTGTATTTCCAGCAGTTTTTTAGTAGCTGTGCAAGTAAAAGCTCTTAGGGTGACACTAAGAATAGCATAAATAAAACATAATAAAATACCTGGTATTTGAAAGTTCAGAACTGACTAAAATGTTACAGAGATAATGCTGTTTAAAAACACAGAATAGTTTAGCAGCAGAAGAAAATTAAAAGGTCTAAATTAATGTTCAAAAATTCATATTTGTTGGAGAAAATCATAGAATAACAATTAGGCAGACTTTTTTAGAAGGATGTTTTGTGGCTAAAAGGATATTGCTGAAAAGCTCTATTTCTGAATTGCATTAATTATTTCAGAATAAGGTTGTGAATTATGATCTTGAGCCTCAGGTATAATATGTTGGAAGAAGTACTTTTTCAGCCTTCTTCAGAACTATACAGTGGAACCTCAGGTCACAAACATTTCTGTTCGTGATCAAATCGGGTGACGACCAAAAATTTCAGAAAATTGTTGCTACTGATCGCGAACAAATCCACAGGTGCTGATCACAGGTGCGGCAATTTTCCCTTCTGCACATGCGCTGAATTGTAGGTGCATGTGCAATCAGTCTTGCTTCTGTCTGTCACCAAATTGGGTTGCAATTGAAGTCCTGGAATGGATTACAGTCATGACCCCGAGGTTCTTCTGTATTGCATATCTAGGATGGGCATAGATATAAATTGATCACGTGCTTTCATCATTTTAGAGCAACTTGCTTTTCTTTGATTTGAATAGACTTTGTTGATTCTCTTATTGTTGCATTTGTATTTTTGTTTGCTGCCTTTTTGTGTGCATGCTTGCTTGCTTTTTCCTGTCTTTTCAGATTTTTAAAGAAAAAGTTATTTCTATTCACTAGCTTTATTGTCTTTAAATGACTGGATTTATACAGGTTCCAGTTCCACCATTACCATAAAAACTTTATAGAGGTAATCACTTAAGGATTGCTAGAACCAAACAAACCATTACCAGTTGAGATGATTTCTTTATGTATTATAAGCTATCTGTGGCATTTTTCAACCTGAATTTCTCACAAAATGTGCATATTCTAATATATGCATTGAAAGCTTGCCAGATGTGGAGCAAAAGAAACTCCTGGATCATAATCTGGGAATTAATTGAAAAAGACCTGTCCCATGTCAGTGACACCTGCACTGTTGGTTTTAGGAAATATAAATATTTTATGGCTATTAGCTAAAAGCTTTGAAAATTTAGGGTTGCTTCTTTATGAAAAAAGTGTGTAAGAAGAAACCCCAAGAGATCATTGAAAAGTGCTGGAAAATTCTAACATGACAAAAATACTTCTTGTTTTATGTACCTTGGAGAAGAATCTCATGGTTTTTTTCTGAATGAGCCCCTGTCCTTTCTATGCTGATTAAAACAAAAGCTTTGGAAATAAAGGTATTTCTAATAATCAGTGTTGCCTTTTTACAAAAGGAAGGGGAAAGGGAAAAAAGAAGAAGAAAAACCAAAAGATGAGGACGTGGAACCATCCGTACCTAAAGTAGTTGAAACTCCAGGAAAAGCTGTATGGATCCCCCCTTTTGACCCCATCTTGTATGATTATATTACTGAGGTTTCTAGAACAATTCTACCACTACCAACTAGCAAAGAGCAAGTGGTAGCTCTTGCACAGTGAGTATATCAAATGCATGTGTTAGCAATACAAAGGGAATATTTCAAACAATTTATTTAGGCTGTCTATTGGTTTCCATTGTATTATATTTTGCATACTTTCCACAAGTATGGTATGATTGATAATCTGTTGGGAGATAATTTTGGGTAAGTTTGTTGGAGTTATAGAAGCATGTTGAGATAGAACATTATTTAAATTGATTTTCAAAGTGACTTACTCATATATAAAAGGAGTTAAAAAAAACAGTTTAAAGAGTTTCAGAGGGGTTTATATTGAATCATGACTGAAGAATTAAAATAATAAAGCTGCAAGCTCTTCTCCAAAATCTCATCCCACCTTTTTCTTTGCTTCTTCTTTCAGTTTCCCTCTTTGTTCTACTACTCCTGGTGCAAACTTTTTCCCTATTTCCCTCTGCTATCTCTGCCCCCAATTGCATGCATAAATTAGACCAGCCCCAGATTAATGCATAATCCAAACATGATTATGTTTGTCCTGCCAAGATAGCCTTTAATTCTCTCACCTAAAAAGTTTATCTAGGTAGCAAGAGGTAAGAAAACACTGATATTCCATTATAATCAAGTGTGCACATTTGATGATCTCAACATTCCATCCTCTCAGCAATAGAATTCTTAGCAGCTTTGCAATTGAAAAATGTGTTTTGTTTTCTGTCTCACTTGCTCAAAATGTGTCCATAAATTAACTTACTTAGATTTCCTGCCTCTCAACCCCAAACAGTATCAAAATCTCTATCTTTATATTGTTCACTGTTCCTCTTTCTTGCAAAGCAAGCATCCAAGAATCATTGACTAAAGTTTGGCCACTTCTCCTCAGTGTTGTGTTATTTTCTTTCACAAAGGTTCCATTGGAATATTAGACCCAAAGTGTGATATTTCCATCAACTCAAGGACCATTCCAAATTTAGCATAGTATGTTGAAGCAGTAAGTAGGCAATGCTTATTGGGCAAAGACATTCTTAAAGGCTAGGCAGTCTTCAATCATGATCATGCAGTTGAAGTCCTCCTCCTTTTTTACAAGCACTTCACACACAGGAGACAGGTAAAAATAATGGTCAGGCTAAACTTCATTCTGCTCCTGTCAGGTATTTACTTGTGGACTAGTCTTGCTATGCAAAACTAGGCTTGCTAATTATTAAAGATGCCCATTGACAATTCATCTTGGAATACCAGTTTGACAACTCTGATCAGTTTGTGCTTTCCACTCTGAACCGAAAGCTGCGTGTCTCACTTGACTGCAGCAAACTATACAAATCATGATTGAGTAAATTTAGGACAAAAAGAGCATTTAAACAGCCTTTTTCTCATAGGTGGCTCAATAAGGAATATTTGAACAAAGTGTGCTACTTGGCAACCAACCTAATAATTTATGAATCTTTAGATATTAAACATAGGAATATTTTCAAAAATAACCTGTATTGCTTGGTTTGCATGATCTATCACAGACAATATTTTCATCTATCATCAAATCTTCAGCATACACCTTACAACAACAGGATATAATAAATGTAATGTACTTTTACCCTGTTTCCTCAAAAATAAGATCTATCCAAAAAATAAGACTTAGCATATTTTATGCATGCACCTAATATAAGATCTATCCCCCAAATAAGCTCTACTTAAGAACCTGTGCAGCTGACTGCCTGCCTATTCCGTCTGGTTGCTAGCAATGCTGTGGCCATGAGGCGAGGCAGGGTGGTGGTGGAGCTGCCCCACATGCCCTGCAACAGCTTATCCCAGGGCCCCCACAGACAGGCCATCCATGCCTCAACAGCTGCCTCATGGTGGCAGCACCAATAGCCATGTGCATCAGGAGCCCACATGGCCACCAGCCCATTTCTTCTGCTTGCTTGTGGCCATAACGGAGCAGGCCTAGTGGTGTGCTGCAGCCGTGAGATGAGACAGGTGTCAAGGCATGGATGGTCTGGTTGTGGAGGCCCTGAAGTAAGCCAGTGCAGTGTGTGTGGGACAGCTCCACATCCACTGGCTCATTGCGTGGCTTCTTGCCCCACCACAAGCAAGGAGAAGAAGTGGGCCTCCTGTACACATGGAAAAAATAAGACATCACCCAAAATAAGGCCTAGTGGTTATTCTGGGGCCCAAAAGAAAAAAAGACCCAATCTTATTTTTGGAGAACCACAGTATTTGCCAGACAGACTATTACCGTTGTTTCTTCAGAATCCAGAATAGCATGGAAACTGCTTCTATGTGGTTAAATTAGCATTGCTGAAACAAAGAAATACATGTTTAAAATGCATGCTTTTCTTCTTAGGCAACCAAGATGAGAAAGGTGAGAATTAGCCAAAGAGGACTGAGACCCAGTGAAGCATAGTAGCAAGTTTAAGAGATGCTTCCCATCCGTAGGCTGCTAAATGGTAGCATTTAATTCCTAATGCCCCTAATCCTTAATCATGCTAGATGGAGATGATGGAAGTTGTGAATTGCAACAATATCTAGAATCTACAGTATGCTTGGAAGCTGAAGATTAATAGTCCTGGAATTTTTTTAATCCTAATTTAGTCATTAAAATTAGTGAATGGCTTTAAGCAAATCATTCTTTCAATCCTATTCAACTTCATATGATTGTTAGATTTAAAATAAGAAAGGATGCTTATTACATTACATTACCAATTTGACATCTTCAAGACGAATAAAAATGTAATATTAAATGAAAACATCTCAAGACCTGCTTAGCTCCTTAGAAATAAGTCCTAAAAACATATATGTCAGAGTAGAACACAAAAACATGCTTAGATAACCTGCAAACAATTAAAGTCTCATGCCTTCCATTAATTATTAATCTTATCCTTTCACCTTATTACAATCCGAACAGACAAATAATAACAGTATTGTTCCAAAGTTGTGGAAACCACAACCCACTCTCACATATCCAAAGAATGGAATCTTTTAGAATAGGCATGTCCAACCTCTGGCCCACAAGGTGTGTATGATCCTAAATAGCTAGTAATGTGGCCCCACAAGACTATAAACATTTAATATCATTATGTGATTTATAAGCATTTATAATATATTTTGTATGCAGCCCAAGACAATCCTTTTCACTCAGTGCAGCCTAGGCAAGCCAAAAGGTTGGATACTCATGCTTTAGAACATCAAATTGTCTTGCTAGATCAGGTCAATATCCATGTAATTCTATCCATATAATTATTTGCCACCAAATAATTGCTATCAGTGGCACACAAATAAATTATGAGCCATGAAATGATTCACCATAAACTCTATGCAAATAGTTGTCAAGAAGCAGAATAATTTCTTAGACAAGTTTACTAGTATGAAAAGAAAGTAGATTTAATTTACCTTGTTTGGTTTGAAAACAGGTTTGTTGCAGATAGGTTGGGTGGTCCCATTGAAAGAGATAATCTACATGAATTCAGCTGGGAGCTTCATATAAGTGAAATTGAATATGAACTTAAATGTAATGTGATACCAATTGGGAAGATCGGCAAGGGGACCTTCTACCACAGAGCTTTACTTTTCAAGGTAAAACAAGTTAACTGTATAGCAAATCAAATGTGCTGCTCTAAGTTGCATACTTTTAGTTTTAATGAGTATGCAATATATGGTACTGTTTAATCAGGTTCAGTGTAAGTATTGTAGTATTCAAATTGTAGTATTTGTTTTTTTTCTATGTGTGCAATATTTTTGCTCAGACTTGGTATTGATTTCCAATCAATAGATATACATTTTTATATTGTACACTGCTTTATAAATTCCATTTAAAATATTTAATGGACATTTAGGCAAAGCAAGTACAATGCAACACTGAAAAAGCCCTATGTATAAAAAGGCACGCATTGCTATGACTCAAACCAGAAGCACATTTTACATCAGAAAAAAATTATGGCAAGACATACGTTTTTAATCTCATTTTGTTTTCTGTAATATGGAAATAACAGTACTGACCAAATCTATGCAGTAAAGCTTGATATAGTAAATTGATAAAGAGATTTAAATGTCAACAAATGGCACTGAATAAATGCTATACATGTTCGATGAAAAGGAAGTAATAAATGCTATCAGAATTCTGAAAAATAGTAGGCAATAGCAAAACAAAGTTTTCTTACAGCAATTTCCTGCTGAAGTAAAAGAACAGCTGTCAGAATTTCTATGCATCAGTACTGCTATCTTTTGGCAAGTTGTAATATAGAAGCATTGCTTTTAAGTTAATCCTTGTATTTATGGATGAATGTATAAAAAATAGTTACCATTATTAGAAGTTTTTTGGGATTAAAATATATATGTACTTTGCAGTTGATTCCAAGTTGTTGACTAAGAATCCAAGTGATTTTCACTGTATGATATAGTGAGGAATATAATTTGAAAAATGATATGTCAAAAACAAGTCCATTGTGTTTGGCAGGGATAATAACTCAATAATCTTTCCATCTGCAGTCATTCTTCCAGTGAATTCTCAGGAGGGATGAGAATGTGTCCCCTCTGTGGATTGAGTGAAACCAACTGCTATTTGGCTCCTTACTGACCCCAATATTTCTTCATTAAATAGTATTCAATTGACTTGTTCTTTTTTTTTTACTTTTAACCATTAGCATACCAAATTATAAAGCATTATTATCAATGATGTGTCTCTTTGACTGTAATGAGAAATTTAAGGCTGCAGTGGTCCTTCAAATTTTTCCACCCTGTACCTTGCAACTCTACCAGAATGGCAATCCACAAATACAACAAAACTAACGCATAGTCTTATTCTTTCTTTCCATAGGTTCTGGCAGACAGAATTGCTATTAATTGCAGCCTTTACCGTGGTGAATATAATAGAGGGTGGAATGAGGTGAAATTGGTTGATGATTCTCCTTTGGGAATACCTGGACTTCTGCTTCCCCCTCAAGTATTTATTGTGGATCTTATGTACGAGCCAGGCTGTCTCATGAAAGAAAAAAGTCCAGAGGCAGATCGTTATCGACGGATTTGATTATATATTCTTAACTTTCTCTGTGTATGTATTTATTGGCTTATTAGCATTTCAGTTTGCTTTGTTAAAATCCTACATATAAGGCTTATTTTCCAAGTTGGGAATCTATTCCCAGAAGCTGGGAGTTGGAGAAAGGTTCTGAGAAAGACAAAGTTGATTATATTTGTATTTTACATTTTTAAAAGAAATGACCACATTGATCCATTTGGTAGGATCACCATATCAAAACTGTATAATGAATCTCAGGTCCTCTTGGGTGAAGGTGTGGAGATCACCAATAATGTTCAGTTGCATGTCCCTTAGTTTGGAAAGTTAGCTGAACACCCTTACTACTAACCTTCCAGAAAGTTGTTTAAGGCATCAGAGGATTGAGAAATGGACCTGTGCACTTATTTGTATTTGTGCATTTTGCACATAATTTACAATATTATTATAATGTATACATTATGTTTTTAACAGATATAAAGATTATATAGTATAAAAATACACAAATGTAGCAGAAAATGTTGGCTATGGTGCAAGGCATACATTTAATATGATTGCATATTATACTTTCTCATAATCTTCCATCTGATGGCAATATAATTATGAAGGAGATGAAATCCAATATCGCTAAAAACATAAGTTTATTTGTTTTGCATAAGAACATGACAAAAGAAAAATAAACATATACAGACAATCCACGTAATTATATATAAAACTTTTACAGGGGATAGGGCAGTGGCCTCATCACTGGATATCCAATTCCGCTATTTATGAGATCACACTAATGTTGCTTCATGCAGATCTTCTAGGGCAGGAGTGTCAAACTCAATTTTATTGAGAGCCTCATCAGGGCTGTGGTTGACCTCGGGTGGGGGGGCTGACTGGGTGGGTGTGGCTAGCTTGACGCCACTCCCCAAACTGCTGACATGTTTCCTCTTTGCATTGGTAGATCGGGCCGAAGCCATGCTGGTCTGACCTTTCCTCTTTCCATTGAGTAGACCAAGAGGGCCCTGCCGGCCAGATCCAACCACATTGTAGGCCAGAGCACAGGTCTTGAGTTTAACACCCCTCCAGCGCACAGGCCTTAACACCCCTGTTCTAGGGAATCAGAGAATGCATGTTGTGGGCAATCTTGCACAATATGTTTAATAGTTTGCATATCAGCACCACAACTGTAACAAAGGAAATCTTTCCATACCCACTGATGTACTTCTTCCAGTGTCACATATAATTCTGTTCAATTTCATCCAGACAGAGCAAGGCACATTAAAACCAGGTAGTTTGGTAGAGGGATCACTAATGGTCAAGCCACAAGAAATTACCTTGGATCATTTCTCTCTCCAGGCATTCTCGAGGTTAAACTGGATGTTAATAGTGATTTTCCATGCTGGCCTATGGGATTTCAATCTTGTGATGCAGTCTACATTATCCTGGAAAATAGTTATTAAGTATGTTGTGTGCTCCGTTAATACACTTCTATTAAGGCAGAAATGCACTGCTATAATTAATATCAAGTAATTAGTGGCCTTATCAGGCTAGATGAAGATTTGTAAGGAATTGAGTTACCTATCAGCAAAGTTTGGCTGCTATCATGTAAATCAGGGGTGTCAAACTCAAAGCCCGCAGGCCAGATCCGGCCTGCAGGGTGCTTAGATCTGGCCCACAAGGCTACCCTGGAAACAGCAAGGGACTTATCCATGGTGCCTCTGCCAGAAAAAACGGAGTTCAGGAGGGCTGATCTCCGTTTTTGCTGGCAGAGGTTTGCAGGAGGCTATTGCAGCCAAAAATGGAGACCAGGAACCTGTTTTCTCTGCCAGACTGCTCGGGCGTCCAAAGGCACCCCCAACATGAGTAACGTCAAGCTGCCCATGCCCCCTGCCCCCCCGAGGTCAAACACAACCCTGATGCATCCCTCATTGAAATAGAGTTTGACACTCCTGATGGAGATTGTTTAAGGTTTGAAAAATATACATTATAAATCTACTAAAACTGAATTAAAATTTCAAATTTCAGTAAGTTCACTTGATATGCCTTGGTATTCTCTCTAGCTGGTCTCCATACTTGGAAACATTTTCTGTTCTCACTCAGCTTGACTTCTGTAATGGAATCTTCTAAACCAGGGATGTACAATTCACTCTGATAGTTTTAGGGAGAAACCCTCCAAGAAGTATTGATTGAAACCAGGATTTGATTCATTTTATATTTAACTAAAATTCAGCATAGATGATATTCATTCTCTTGTGATATTCTGAATTATTTTCACTGTTACAATTTAGTACAGGTAGTACGACCACAATTGAGCTCAAAATTTCTGTTGCTAAGTGAGACATTTGTTAAGTGAGTTTTGCCCCATTTTATGACCTTTCTTGCTACAGTTGTTAAGTGAATCACTGGAGTTGCTAATTTAGTAATACAATTGTTAACTGAATGTGCTTTCCCCATTTGCTTGTCAGAAGGTCACAAAAGGTGATCATATGACCCCAGGACACATAAATATGAGTTAGTTCCCAAGCATCTGAATTTTTATCATGTTGTTATGTGAAATGGTCATAAGTCACTTTTTTCAGGGTTGTTGTAACTTTGGTCACTAAATGAACTGTTGTAAATTGAGGAATAGCTGTAATATCTTTTGGAAGTGGCTGGACATAATAATCAACCTGCTTTGGAGAGGGGAAGGTTAATGTCACCCTGATACTTCTCCAAATTATGTACCTTGGGTCTCAATATTCACTTTGTAGATATGAGTAACCATGACCATAAACATGTTTATTAGTGTGCTGTCCCAGCCAGTCTATGGGATAGTTATTTAGGAATTGTGAGCTGTCCCCTTAAGGCAGGGGTGGGCAAACTTTTTGGCTCAGGGGCCTCATTGACTTTTAAAATTTGACAGACGGGCCGGGTCAGCACAAGATACGATACATATAAAAAACTGCAAAATCTCCGCAAAATCAAGTCACTGCGCCTAATGCGTCACCTGGTGTCGAAATGCCTGTCATTACAAGTCAAAATCAAATGAATGCAATCATTCAATCATTCACATCAAACCTTAATTCTGTACCAATCTTCGGCAGGCCGGATTAAAAAGATCAACGGGCCGGATGTGGCCCGCGGGCCGTAGTTTGCCCACCCCTGCCTTAAGGGAATGCATCATGGTAAATGTAGTTAAAGGTATCTTGGGAAATGTAGTTTGTGTCACGTGGCTACATCTGTAATCCTGATTTGTCACTAAATTGACCCTCGAGGGGTTGAGGGAGGTTTCCTCCATTCTTGCCTGGACTCATGGACTGATAACAGCTTATCGCTACGAGATGGGTTAGGAAAATAACCATCTTTTACCTGCAATGCTGATGTACAAAGGATTGGTCATTATAGAGGAGCTTTGTCACAAATGTGAGTTATGAAGATACCTGATGTACCAATAAATGTACTATGCAATACAGGTAGTCCTCAACTTACAATAGTTCATTTAGTGACTGTTCAAAGTTACAACGGCACTGAAAAAAGTGACTTATGACCATTTTTCACTTATGACCGTTGCAGCATCTCTATAGACACATGATTTACATTCAAATGCTTGACAACTGATTCACATTTATGATGGTTGCAGTGTCCCGGAGTAATGTGATCTCCTTTTTCGACCTTCTGACAAGCAAAGTCAAAGGGGAAACCGGGTTCACTTAACAACTGAGTTACTAATTTAATAACTGCAGTAATTCACTTAACAAATGTGGCAAGAAAAGTTGTAAAACGGGGCAAAACTCCCTTAACAAATTTCTGACTTAGCAACATAAATTCTGGGCTCAATTGTGGTCGTAAGTTGAGGACTACCTGCATTCTAAAGCATGTTCAAAATTAAATTTCCAAGACTTGTTCTTTATAGTCTCTGTGCACTTTCTAAAGTATTTATCATTTTAATATTGAGGGTAATTAAACATTGTTTTTTTACTGTTTAAGATGGCACTTCTACGTAATCCCAGAAGTTTTCCCCCAAAAGTAGAGCTTTGATTATTATCAATTCTACAGGCTCAAAACTCTGGGAACAAAGAGAAAATAATCCTTTAATCACTACTCCATCTTGAGCTCTTATCTCTTAAAATAAAATTAAAAAAACCATAGTATAAGATCAAATATATAGAGTGAATTCTGGAGTGGAGTGAAAAATTCAGGTAGATGTTCTCTACACGTATAGATAATTTATCAGTTAAAATTACTGCAAGAATTCATCATCTGTACACTATTTTGATTTCCTCAACCTTTTTTCTATACCAATGGGCCATGTTGAAACCCAGAATCAACAGAAAAGTGGCCATAAATGCACATACTCATGTTAACTGAGGTCCAGTCTTCCCTTATGCTTGATCATCCAAAGCCACTTCAAATGAAATAGACTTAATTGAAAATAATTTAGATTTAGACTTTGGAAGTTTTCTGAAAGGAATTGCCAAATCTAATCTTAAAAGAGATTAAAGAGATTCCTGTAGGAGATAACCAGGCTGAGCCCGAGGACAGGATCAAACACAAACGCCAGAAAAGATTTACTAAGTCCAATCCCCTCTCTTGAAGTCCATTAATTCTTATCTGGTGTAGTTTGTCAGTTGAACAGAATCTTGTATATAGGTATCATGGCTCCTGATTTCATGCGCCTGACAATGCCTAGATTTTCCTTAAGCTGGGGCATCTGTGTGATGATCTTCAATTTCCATCATTTTTCATCAATTGACCATGTCAGGAGACAATCCTATTGGAAACTTGCCAGAGATACTCTATCAATACTTACCTTCCAAGTATTGGAGTTTCCTTTGGACAGCAGATTACCTTACTTGGTTCTGACTGTTTAGCATTTAATATACATTCTTTGATAACACCATAGAAATGCAAAAGAAACAATGTATATGATAGGAAGATCTAACATATTTGAATACAGCATGAAATGTATGTTCTCTAAAACTGCTCTTTAGATTTATCAATGTTTTAAATAAAGAATTTCAGGAGAAAGAAGGGCAATGGGATTATGAATTTAATATGAACCTGAATCAAGTCATGCCATATAGCTATTACTAAATACCAGGAATTTTATTTAATCAAATCAAATTAAAAAAAATGTTACTTCTAAAAATTTGCAAGGCTTCACCCATTAATATTGCCCTTCCTTTTGTAGATAGTTTTTTAAAGAATGCCTAAAGGAGAAAACCGTTGCAAGACTTTGAACTTTACTAATAAATTAGGAATAACATTAGAAAATATGTAGGACTTCAGACTACAATTACCATGTATGACATGAAAGCAGAGTATGGGAAATATTCCAGGTCAATTTGTTGTCTGCAAGAAACTGGATCTTTTAACAAGGAAGTCAAGCTGTCATAGAAGTGAGTCATTTAGCTCTGATTAGTACATGAAACATGGCATAAGCCTACCCTTAAATCATTTATATTTTACTTTTTTATGACGCTATTGTGAATTACCTCTTTCTGCATCTA